TATTGTGACACAGAGGTCTAGTATCTCAGGCCTTTATAAGACATGTGAATATTGTCATTACAGTGCACATGCTTATGAAAAATTAGTGACACAAAGAAATGATGCACAAAATATAAAAGGCTTTTTCAAAAGTGAGACTCGTGTTGTCGGCCTTATTGTAATGTTGGCTTACGCAGTTTTTCACGAGTTGTTACCATCCATGGCTGTCAAAGGCAAATTAAACAATGTCAGAACTAAAAACAAAAGACACGGCAAAACACCTGAGGCACAGCTTTAGGATAAGGATAATCACCTTTATTGGCCAAGTATGTTACACACAAGGAATTTGTTTCCGGTGCAGAACCGATGGCAGCCATTTGCGGCGCCACCTCAACCAATGGGTCAACCTATGGGTACTCTCTTTGTATGAAGCTATAAAATTAAAAACAATGTTGACTTTGAGAGATGTAAGACAATAGTGTCTGGCATGTTTTGCCAGTTTCTGTACATCTGATATTATTATTTGTATTGAAATAAATGTAATATATTCAATATCCATGTAATAAAGAAGGCACTAAGTGTGATAGTGGGATTTAGTGTCTACAGGTTATCAAGTCAGAGTGCACCTATTGCAGCCTGGGCATCAATACAAGGCTAGAATGTAAAAACTGTGCAACCAGAGTGCAGGTAGAGTTGTAGCTATAAAGTTGTTTTTACATTCTTATGACATAACCCAAATTTGACCAGATATGTAGATACTGCTTCCACAAGGCACTATAGCTCCCTATATCTTTCTTTATAATTGACAAACACTGGTTACATTTGGGAGGCCCTCTGCTGGCTGATGTTTGCATATACTTTGTTAGTAAGCAGTGTGGTACACACTGGATTGGTTGGTGTGTTTTCCCTGCAAGACATTACAGTAATATTAGGCTACAGTTGCCTTTTCAAAAGAATCATCGTTACAAGTTTCCCTGACAAAACATAAATGAATCAGCTCACACTGGCAGCATATAGTTATAATTCACTGGCCATTTATGGCTTTGTTGGATGACATTTGGTTGAAGGACAAGATCATATAGCATCTAGTGAAGCCTGCAGAGTAAAGTAACCTCAAATGCCAGCATTCAGGCTCTGGAGCTATAATCTATCTTGGAAAAAAAAAACCCACACACACATATAGAGGGACAAAAATGCCCGGCTTTCCTTTGTCACTGTAAATATTTCACTTTAGCAAGCATAACTCCCCTGCAGACTGTGAGGAGTACCATGCTGGGAAAATCTGTCACACATTGCTGGTACATGGCAAGACATGCAACACTGGCTTGTTGACTGCACTCTCACATGGTGGCTACTGAGGATGGATACATAAAATTTCCCTCTGTTCCTACGTGCAAGATTGATGGGATTATGATAGTGTGCAAAGGCAAATACTTAAAAAAAAGATCTCACAGGCAGAAATGTTAACAAAGTCCACTGACTGTATGCAGGCTTTCTGGGAATAGGAAAAGGTGACAAATAAGCCACAACATTAAGAGATCATGCTTTTATTCCCCTCAGATCCAAAGATGTAAATACAGAACAGCATCCTTATTGGGGATTCTGACTTCTGCCCACTTTTCTTTCTCCTCCTTTGTCACTCCCCCTTTTCCCCACATTGTCAAATTCTTGCTCACTCATTTCCTGTCATCCTTGCCTCTGCCCAATCGTTGCCTTCCACGCGCCTCTCAAACCAATCAGCTTATGGGTCCAATATTTTAAATATCAGTCTATTTCTGCATTCTGCCTTTCATACCTATGGTCTCCACCTCCACCCCATTTCATTCTATTTTGAAGAAGCACGCCACAGCGGGGGCTAATTTCCAAATCCTCCTCCTGTGTTCAACTTAACCATCCTTTTGCACTCTTATTTGCTCTCTCCTTATTGATCTGCCTCTCTGTGCAAACTGTTGCGTTTGACCGTCTTCTGCATTGCCTTTGTTCTAGTAGTGCAGCCCATGTATTTGAATATGTTTTGTTTGTTTCCCTGCTATAACCAGGGCTCGTGGATAAAGCAAAAAAAACTGCTGTTTACTGTAACAGGCCAGGCATTCGCAGTAAATCTCCAGGCACTGAGCACTGAATCATAATAAACATATGTAATTTAAAAAACACCACCAAACATCTGCTGTGCAGGTGTTTTTGCTCAAGATCAGTATGTGAATAACCCCCACCTGTGACTTTATGACAATAATGGCTGTGGCCTTATATTTATATACCTGGCTGATTCTAGGTGGCAAACTATATACAGTAAAACAAAGGATAGATTACATTTAGAAATGTTTCAATTATGGTCCTAGCAAATGAAATATGGACAAGAATCCTGACTTTACCATGCTGTTTTTAGTAATGTTACTGTAATCAGTGTGCCCCAGGGTGTTAAGACGAATACCTGCTTCTACTAAGGCCTGGGATGATGGCAAAGCAACAAACAAAGCTGAGAAAGACACATGATACTATATTTATCAGTCTTTGTTGTGCAAGTATTTTGCACTGCATCAACATGAAACTTGTGTTCTCTGAGCTTAAATATTTGCAGGAGCTACATGAGCCATTTGTATGAACTGTGTACACTAAAAATCTGATCCAAATCAAGTACTGCACCCGAGATTATACAGAGACTTGCCACTGCAGCAGCACTGTGACAGATTATGTACACACTGTATGTAGATCAAGGGTGTGACTGGAGTGGGCGGCAGGCACACATAATGACTCATGGAGCTTTTAATGAAAATTTGTGTAGAATATGCAGAACAAATAAATGAAAAATGGTGTGATTGTTTGATCCAGCAAACAGACACTTGTGAATGTGAGAAAGGGAATGATGGGTTGATAGGGATGTTTCCATCTCCCTCTGAGATTAACTGCACTGTGACTGATTTTGTGAATGGAGCTGTCACCCTCCTCCAGGAGCAGCGGTGCCAAGCTGGAGCGCGGGATGGAGGCGCCAGGAAAACATGGAATCAGACTTCAGATCAGCTAAGCACGGAAGCAGCCGCAACTATCTCTGACTTCCAACGGGAAAATTTCTCTCAGATCTCCATCCCCGAAACCGCTCTGTCTCACCATGAAGCCAGAATGAAGGCTGGGTGCCAATCCCCCCACCTCGCTCGCCGTGCGCCCTCCCCCTCCTGCCCTCACCGTGTAATACAAACCTCGTGATCACCCATTCGTCGGTGGCTGCGTCTGCTCCTTTTGGGGGAGAAATAATAGGCCGACTACCCGAGGGGAAGGAACACCAAAGTATCCGGGAAACAGAGTGGTGTCGCGGAAGTTTACACTTGCAGAAGCGCATCCCTCCGCATCCTTTTGTAGCTTATTATTTGGGATAGCGTGGAAGAGACTTCAGCTGGCAGTCATCCGGGACCTACTGATTCTGTGTAAGTGATCCTCCACATCAAGTCACTGCAAATAGGTGAACGTTAGCCAAATAATGAGCAGGGATTAATGGAGATTGAAACATGAGCCTCGGCGTTCAGGTGTCTGCTTTGCATTCACAGGCTATATGTAAGCTTGCATATTTATGAAAATGCACGCGTCTGTGAAATATCTTTGATCACCTCTCACTGCAAGCTGCCTCATTTAGGTGCTAAAGCTCACAGTTGTCACCGCGGGATTTCACGCAGATGTTATCATATGGTCACTGCAAGCGTGGCTGCATGAATGAGATGAGCAGGTTCTGGTGTTGGATGAGAAACATGCGGCATGTTTGCGGCTTGTGAGCTGGATATAATTAGTTCATTTTACTTCACAGCTCGACACTCTCCAGAGTGCTGAAAAGAAATCTAAAATCAGGTGCAGAACATCTTTTGGTTTTACGCTTAGATTGAATTCGCTGAATCTATAAAAGCAAAATTATGTTTTGTCTCAGAGCCATGTCCCCAGAAAAACCTTTAACCCGAAGGAATGGAAGGCGCCGATCCCCATTTGGCAGCTCCTCTGAGTGGGTGTGCAGGTGGCTGCACTGGACTCAGCGCAGGTTCTCCTTGTTGTTTTGTTTTGCGGTGATGATCGTCACCTGTTGACAATAATACAGGGTCATCTAGGTCAGCTTTTTGAGGGAGACACCAGGAATAGATTCACCTACATCCTGGATGAGTCAGCCTGCTATTCTGAGTAACTCGTTCACTCAGCCAGACATTCCCATTCTTAGTGTTTGTGTTTCACTAGTTCTCAACAGTTTATCACATGCTCAGTGACTCAGAGGCAGATTCAATTAGCATCTGTTTTGATTTTAACAAAACGGACAAATTATATTGTAGCGTGTGTGTGTGTGTGAGAGCAGGTGTGTTCACAGGTCAGCTGCAGCATTCTGACCTTGCCAGAGTGGCAATTGGGCAGGTAGTTACAGATGTGACACAGCGGGTGGATGTCACAGTGACAAATGATCAAGGGTTTTTTTCCTCATACTGGGCCCCTGTTGAAGATTTGATTGTGTCCCCAGTCAAATATGTGGTACAGTAGTAACAGTGAAAGTCTTGTTTTGCTGCATCTTCACCAAGTATGATGTCTGTCACAAGGTGTAACAGTGAAAGTCTTGTTTTGCTGCATTTTCACCAAGTATGATGTCTGTCACAAGTCAAATAGCCCACTGATTTTGTTTGTTTGTTTTTAAGGGGACAATAATGTAATCCAGAGTGGTGGCTTAGAAACAAAACAAAAGGGGCTGGGATGCAGTTGTATTTGAGCCATGATCTTCATCATCATTTATGGTTGATACTGACCAGTAGCTAAAATATAGCAGATATAATAGAAATGGTATCATGCGACATTGCCATTTGTGGAAGTTCCCACTAACCCACATTCAGCATCTACATGGTGCATTCACATTGAACAGCTGGTGCCATTTTAGAGCCAGGTACATGATATTTTCAAGGAAAAGGTTTTAACTTTGTTTATGATGATACTTCCCATGTGTGACCACAGATCAATATCCACAGATCACTGGCTGTCTGTTGCACAAATCATTGAGTGCAATAGCCTCAACGTATTTCAAGATGTAACTGCGATTTTATCCTTTTCCTATCCCATGTAGCCATAGCAGGTTTTTAGTGGTGATGAGGATGGTTTTACAGCATAAAAAAGGAGCAAAGCTCACAATCTGTTGGACTAGTACCAGTATTGCTGAACATCATTCTCTATGTGATTTTATGAAACATTTCTAATTGCCATAACTCATTTGTGGATGCATCTGGTATATGCAGCCACTCACTCTGCTCTCCTCTTAAAAATTTTAAGTATAATTGAGGATCCTTGGTTGATTGGTATTCTCATAAATGATTGTATAATGACAGGCATTGTTCACATAATGTCCTGCACTTCTTATCAGTTAGTCAGATGGTAAAGCAGCTGGAGAACCAAGTTTTAAGTTGACGTGCAATATATGTGCTCTTAACTGAAAGCTGAACTATATCTATAGTTTGTTGCTTCCCTTTTCTTGGTGATGGCTCCTCTTGTTGTCCTCTTGATAGATAGTGGTCATATTGTGGGTTGCAAAAACACCTTGAACACCATATGTATCTGCTGACAAATGAGCAGAGACAAACATAAGTCAACACACACAAAACAAGAGCTTTCTTTTCAATGGTGTTTCAATAAGCTATTCCCACAATTTTCAAGCATGTTGTAGGACATCCTGCTGCGCATAAATACTGTACATCACACATACTGGCAAAAAGCAGTTCTGTAAAGTCTGTTCGCTGTTTTCAACACCGTTCCAAATAGTGATTTCAGTGATGTCATGCTCGGTCTCCTTCCATCCAGTTGTGACGAAAAGCTGCTCCAGTGCAAAGTGTCTAAAACAAGCAGTTCATTTAGCGCTTGGCTGCACCTGCCCTCCAAAGAGGCCTTGTACTCAGCAGGCCCAGCGTCTGCTGACTGATAAACAGCAGCCGAGCCAAGTGTTCTGCAGCACTGTGAGGATATGATGCTTTTATGTGTATTTGGGATGATATAGTATTAGTGTGTGTATACTTATTAGCTGAAGACATGGTAGATTGATGCATGCCTTTTAGTGAAAAGACAGGTTCTTGTTTATTCTCCTGTTTGATGCATCGCTGTGGCCAGTTTTCCCCACTGAAGCCATTTTTTCTAAGTGTTGTGTGTCAGTCTGAACGTACTGTTCTTGTAATCTGACAGTATTGCGCTGACACTTCATTGTAGTGTCAGTCAAAATATGACAATTGTTTTTATTTTTTGTGAAGGTTGTGTCTCAACTTGGTAAATCATGCGGTTAGCAGTAAACTAATCCACATAGGGGAAAAGAGCTGGGGAAAAAAAAGGATCTGACAAGATTGGTTCCAATTATCTGGCAGGTTTATAGCTGCAAAGCAAATCAGAATCATTAAGTCCCCATAATTCCCTGGATGCAGCTGTAAAAATCACCGCAAACCCTAGATCTGCCATGAGTACACAGAAACTATAACGTCATTAAAACATATTTTTACATGCAGGTCATATGTGCCTGATATATCCACCCATCATCTCTAGGAATTACATCCATATTGGGAATTTCCACATAATATTCACATGCAATTCCAAAGTCAAGTGCTGATTTATGACCTAATGTAATCTAGGGTTTATTCAAGTCAGAAAGTATAGGTGGTGGATGAGCATCTAGTGCATCCAACTTTCATACAGACCAGATAAAATACAGTTTTTTTTTGTTTTTTTTTTTGCAAATTAATTAAAAATCAAAAGCTGAAATGTCTCATACGTAAAAGTATTCTGACTTTTATTGTGGTACTCAATAGTGAGATCAGGTGCATTTCATCAATGACAGCCACATTTCAATTATAGATGCCCAAGGAAACCCAGATGTGTTTGAAATAAATGGAGATCACTCTGACAGCAACAAATACAGTCTGTAATATTTCTTTCTCTTAAAGATAAAACATGACTTTTTCGAATCATTAGCTGTTTTTTTGTTTTGCATAGCAGCCTGTCCTGCTACGGGCCCTCTGAACTGGAGCTATGAGAGAGAAGTTGAGTGAGAGGGGAGGTGCTCTGTTGATTAATCTATTGGCCCAATAATAGAACGGACATAATTGCGCAGGCTTCTGAGTCATCCTTGTGCTCTCCCATCTTGTTTAGACCGTGCAGTTAATGGACCTTCTTCTTCTATCCATCTCCCCATCTGTCTCTGCTTTCCTCATCCTCCTGTCATCTCCTTGTTATACTTCCATAGATTGCCCCTCGATCTTGTTCCTCTGTTCTTCAGTTTCTCAGTAGTCCACCTGACGACACCTGCATGCTGAAGTCCTGGCAACAGAGCGCAGGAGGCATCACTAATCAGTAAAACCCTGGCCCTGTTGTATTCTTCCTGGTTTTGTTGTCAGGACTCCCAATAAGCCTAGCCAGTTCCATCTTTAGATAATAAACTGTTTCATGCTATAGTACATCTGCCATCTTGCCTGTCTGTCCCATTCTTCAGTTTGCTGTTTCTTTAGTGAAACGTGACCATCTGTGTTTCTTCATTTAGGGTTTTCCTGGCCTCGGCTCCCAGAGCAGCAGTGACTGTGCCTCTTATTCTCATCCCCTTTTGGACCAGCAGCAGCTCAGTGTGGCAAGGCCAAGAGCAATGGGCCGTAAGCTGGACCTGTCAGGCCTGACGTACGACGAGGCACAGCATGTCTTGAAAGTGGTCCAGCGGGATATGAAGCTGCGAAAGAAGGAAGAAGAAAGACTGAGGTAAGATGGGTTCCACTGCCAGCGTCTTTTCTAGTATTTTTACACACTTGACACATATGAGGTGACTTTGAAGAAGTTGACAAGAACATATGACATTCACCTATGAGCAGAAATGACCCGATATGGTGGTAGCAGGCACTTTGTTCGGAGAATGAGAGCTGGGCTCCATCTAACTCTGGGACCACAGCTCTCACATAAGGGTACCCAGGCCTGGAGGGACATCATTTTCTTTCTAAGCTGGCCTTGCCTCCTGTAAGCTATCTTAAACGGCCTTCCACCTAGTTGATTTGGTGGCATCTAGCACCTGTAGGCCATGGGTTTGTATGTATTTGTAAATAGCTCTTTTTGTTTTAATCATATTTCCACTCTATCTGATAAGAGTGTTTGTTGGATGGCATTTGCATAGTTTGTTTTATACAATGCAGCTGGTTAATAGAGCTTAAAATAGAAGATGAATGAATCCCTCTCTGTTTCGCCACTGGTCAGATTACACAAAGAAAAAACTCATCCGCCCTTCATGTGAAAGGTGAATTTCACAGTTTATAATAGGAATATGGAAGCTTGTTTACAGCAGGTGGTAGCTGAGTGTTTCGGCAGGCAGCTCTCTCCCTGGGTGCTTCTCTCCACCATGCATGACTGACATTTGCTTTTTTTCTTTCTTGAATGACGTCAGCCCTGCAGAATTTAGTTACCAGTTCAAGGGTCCTTTGAATAGTTTATAAGCCTCACTTTGATTGCACCATTTTAATTTGAATGATATTACCTTCTGTTTCATAAATACTGAACTGTACCAAATAGAATGTATGCAACGGCAACTATTATATAGTAGGTCTCAGCACATTAATGGTTTTGTCCGTGAATATTGGCCTTAGTATGTCAAACTGTAGAACCAATAAAAATTAAATATGAAGTTGGAGGTGTAAATATGAACGGATACTGTACGTATTAGAAAATCAATGCAAGAGTTGGAGATGTGGCTGTTCTGGTTCAAGACCACAGATTCAAAGTAAGTTCCTTATATATGAAATATGTATGTAAACCAAGAAAAATGACCTTGTGACCTAAGAACATTTCTAAATGGTTGTTTCCATATTTACCCTTGAGGTTAAGTTTGACCTAACATTAAGGGGGTCTGTGCATGTGCTGTTTTGCCCACCAAACCTGGAATAGTAGCACTGTTTTTACCTTTTAGTTCATTAGCTTTTATAGACTCAAGTGTTTCCTCTCCTGTTTATCCTTCCTTCTGTCATTGTAATTTTTTGTTTGTCACTATTCTGCATGGTGTTGTTTTCTGCTAGATCGTTTAACTGTGAAGCACTGTGCAACTTTTTAAAACCTAAAAATAAACTCTCCGCTTGCTCTGCTGCTAAAGGGTGAGAGTTAGAGAAGTGAGCAGCACAACATCTGGCCTCCACATCTCTGTGGCCATCCAGGTGGAGAGGCTCATTATGGATCAGCAGGA